AATTGCTGTTAGTAAGTAACGTGATAGCTGCGCTATCCCTCCAAGCACTGACGTCGTGTTTCATAGTATAGTCAGCTGAGTGACCGTTCCCGAATGATTATGTCGACCTTCCTGGGCAACTTGCGATCGCAAGCCTATTACCTCTGGAACTGTGGCGATTGCAATTTGCGATTTCACTCAACTACTTACACATAGTCTATAATTCACTTGGTTCCTATACTACAGCTATAGCAATACTAATATTACACGACGAAAAGTAGGTAATCTTGCGAGCCAGAAGTTGTCGCATCAACACCGAAAAGTGTTTTGCTGTCAGCTTTAACAAACAAGGAATTAGTTAGTAAACATAGAGAACTCAATTTCAATGCTACTGTCACTACATCTACTCCAACCCAGGTTGACCGCAAATATGAGGATACAGGCTAAGCTGATTCTACTGACTACTACTGAGTCTATTTCCAGCCCGAACTGATCTCAAAATGAGCATTCAGGCTATCCTTTTTCCCCTGAGGGAACTGTGTTGAGGTAGAACTTTGGTTGTAGTGGATACAATGCCAGGCTGCCGTGATTCTACTGAAAGAACTATGTTGTTCATGTCCACTGACTGTGTAAATATAGCCAAATGAGCAAATGGCCCCATTATATCCTGATCAATCAGACGACTCTTTCTGCGCCAAGCGCTCTGAAGGGCGAAATATTTTGACTGGCAGGATTGGGGCTGAGGCTGAGGTGGGGTTGTGTCGGACGATGTCGTGAAGCATAAACTGAGGCGGAAGATGCTTACGTAAACAAGGCCGCCGACGCGACACCTGGCGTTCCACGCCTGGACTCGATATCAATATGGGCGTTTCACAGCCCTTACGACATCGCCTGCATTATGGAATGGCTTGCGTACTATATGTACAGACCTCGTCTTCTTCTTGATTCTGGCTAATAACAGCGACTAACTCACATGCCTATGTGCCGCTTTCGGCAACCTGATCGGCCGTCTTACACATCTACTCGGGATTATTCGTGTCTGCAATATCCCCTTTCTCCCCATCGCTCCTCACACCGTATTAGTGGAAGCCGTTGCAATGGCTGTGCCTTTGGAATCGCCGCGCAACTCTATCGAGTACTGCGAGACATTCGCAGAAGGAGAGACGCTTCTCCCACCCCTAGAACCGGTCCACAGCCCGCCGCCAGTCGCTCGCAAGAAGCCATGGGCGCTATTTGCATTCCTTATTTGCGCCATGATCACCGTCGTTGATATGGGTGTCTTCATCGCCAACCCGCCTCAGACGCGTATATTCGAAGCGAACATATGTCTCAAGTACTACCGCGAAGCCGACCCTTCCGTGATACCCGCGGATGGAATCATACCTGAGAAGCTCTGCAAAGTAGATAGGGTACAGCAGCGACTGGCCAGCATCTTCGGCTGGCAGGACATGTTTGATGCTCTGCCAGGCATATTCTTAGCAGTACCTTACGGGGCCTTGGCTGATCGGGTGGGCAGGAAGTGGGTCTTCATAGCCAGTCTGGCGGGCTTACTGCTGAGTTTTGCCTGGGGACTGATGATTTGTGAGTAGGCCGAGGAGATGGGCATAGGATTCAGTACTGACACACAAGCAGGCTATTTCACCTCTCTTCCCTTGCAATTGACCTGGTTCTCGAGCGCCTTCCTTGTCATCGGCGGCGGCCCCATGGTAGCCATAGCGATCGGTATCACCATGATGTCCGACATCGCGCCCCCCGAAAAGCGAACTACCATCTTCCTATACGTGACAGCCTGCGTTCTTGTCTCAGAGATGGTGGCACCCATTTTGGCTGCGCGACTGATGGAGAGTGGGGATTGGCTGCCACTTATGCTGGCTATGGGAATACAGGTCTCTGGTGCAATGATCGCATTGTTCTTACCGGAAACATTGCACCTGCGCGATCTCCCGGAGCCCAAAGATAGAGATTTGCAAACTTTTGAGCTCCAGCCGACAACCAGCGACTTTCACTGGCGCTCGCAGATACGCAACTTCCAAGCCACGGTCCACTTCCTTAGAGATGATTGGACAGTAGCACTGGTCGTTTTCACATTCTTGATTCATAGACTGGGCAGACAAGCCATGGGTCTCCTCGTTCGCTACGCCTCGAAACGCTACACCTGGGAGATCAAGAAGGCGGCGTACCTGACCTCGTTTCGTGCAGGTACAAATCTTGTTGTAGTGGCAACCATTCTTCCACTGGTCAACTACATCCTCTTGAAAAGACTCCGGCTTCCGAGCCACTGGGCCGACTGTTATCTTGCACGTGGCTCCATCATTTTGACCACTATTTCCTTCTTGATCATGGGTGTTGCCGCACAGCCTGGTCTTCTGATCATTGGCCTTCTTGTCTTTAACATGGGTACCGGTTATAGTGCCGCTATGCGCTCTGTTTCCATTCACGTCATTGGCGGTCAATCGAGCCCAAACGTGGGTAAGCTGATGAGCACACTTGCCATGGCTGAGGCCATTGGCTCAATGGTTGCTGGACCGCTGTTGAACGAGCTCTTCGAGATTGGTATGGACATGGGCAGTGCATGGCTTGGGCTGCCTTTCCTGGGTTCTGTTGTTGTATTCGCCTTCATGACTGTGGCGACATTTGCCATCGACGTGAAGGACAAGGAGCCTGCTTACATTGAAGTGCACAGTGAGGACGATGATATTTTCGATGAGGAAAGGCCGACAGCTATGCTCGAGCGTGAGGATATCACTAGAAGCAGAAATCCCCTGTGATAGAATAGTTGAACTGCAATTACATGCCCCAATAACTTATCATAACATCAATACTCCAACGTTGGCTATACTTCAGGCGAAGTGCAGGAGCGTTGCGGGCGACCATGGGTGCGTCTTGCCGCACATAAGCGAACAGTCACTGTAAAGCCTCAAGAGCGAAGAAGGCGGCTCAAGCAATGCGACAGCCGCTTAGAGCGGTGGCTTTTGCTCGACATCTTTGCCATTTGACTACAACCATACCGCAGGCCGTGCTTCACTGCCGCTGCTTTTGCTACATGCCGTCAACAAGTCTTTAGCACTGCTATGCTAAGTTGGTCCCACCCTCTTACCACTCTACTTCTGCAATCGATAGTTTTATTCTGCCGTCACGATGCTTGCCCGTGCGAATAGCGACGCAGGTACTCGTCTTCGTCGCTCCAAATCTACATCGACGGTCCACAAGCGTCCTACATCTGTCACTGACTCCTTGGATCTGGATGCAGTCAAGCAGCAAGCCTTGGCTGCTGCTACAGCTGCTTTCGCACGAGCACAACTCCAAGATGTAGCAGACCACAGCGGGAAACGTAACTCTGAAGTCTCCAGATCCAAGAGCAATACCAGCCGCAAGTCTCTCATGTCGCAAGGTAGCCACTTTCCACCGCGCGAGTCAAGTTTGCGTTCCACGCAGCGACCAAAGGTTCAAGAGAATACACGCAGTCAATTTCGGTCACAGGCTTCAGAAGCGGATACGGAACAGAACACCGAGCAGTTTCCGCCCTTCTATCCTACTCCTACCGTCGAGGGGTCATCTCCACCACCCCGGCAATTATCTACACAGCCTTCCATCACCTTTAGCGAAAGTGCCAGGCCCAGCTCCCAGCCAAAACCTCTTCGGCCGAATGCTTCAACCTCGATCACCTCGCAGCAGATACGGAAGGCACGATCCATGTATTATGCAAGCAGTGTGCAGACAGGATCGCCTATAGCACGGCCGCCCGCGAAGTATCTTACCACACCACCTACAGTCGGGATCATTCCAATATCGGAACCATCGCCTGTATATGTACCGAATCGTACTCTTGGGCCGTCCCCCCTGGCCGGTCCGCGCCTACCTGTCACCGTTGGACTCGACGCTACATTAGATAAGGCGCGAGATGACTACCTGCAAGGTTTCCAACAGAAGGCGATCAAGCATAAACCTTCAATGTTCTTAGCACCCTTCAAGAAGAGACAGGACAAGGGGAAGGAAAAGGGAAAGCGGACCTTATCCGGCGCGCAATCTATCTGTGCGAGCAGTCAGCACACGCCTGACGATTCAACGACAGACCTCACATTGAACGACTTCGTCCCACCGCAGGACATCAAAGAGAAGCGGTCATTTTCTGGATCTTTGAAGAGCAAAATTCGGAAAGTTTTCCGGCGAACGTCAGCGAAGTCGGCCAATCTTCCTGTTCAACAGATCGATGCCAGTCGAGACTACTTCCACACTGCACGTATCGGACCACCATCAGTGGATGAGACATATGCTATACCGCCACCTGATCAGGAGACATTGCAGCGCATCCGCGCCCGTACTCCATCTAGTGAAGGGAATCGCCCCGTCTATCTACGATCTGGATCTCGAAGCAACAGCACTGGAAGTGGACGCAGTAACCGTAGTCTTCATAGTGAAGTACACGTACCGCATGTACCCACATCTCGGGTGACGAGCTGGGGAACTTCTTCAACCGAAGATACACTGACGCAAAGAGCCATGAAGCGGATGACTGTCATCCACGAATCCAAAGACAGTATCGGTAGCGAAGCAGACCGTATCGCCTCTGCGATAGCAGTAAGGAGGAAGTCTATGCCTCTTCCACCACTCGCTTCTTTCCGTGATCCCATGCCCATGGAAAGCCTTGTGGAAGAGGTACCTACACCCATCGACGCCAAACGCGTCTTCTCTGCGTTGATGCGAGAAATGGGAACATCCAAGCCATCTCAAACATCAGCAGGCCTCATCGAAGGAACACCAGGCGCGGAAAGCGATGTCTTTGAGTCGAGTACGACAAAACTTCAGGTTCAGACGCGAGAACTACACTCCAGTTGCAGTCGCCATCTTCGAAGCAGTACCGAACTAGAACAGCGACCACCATCTCGCCGACCCGCTACAGCTCAAAGTACTCAAAGTAAGACCAGCACAATCAAGTCTCTTGGCAGGGCGATAAGGTCCACCATTCGCACCGTGACACCCAGACAACACTCGTCTCCTGATCCTGATGTCACCGCGAATGTAGACGACGCCAATAACATCAACAAACATGATGAAAATACTCCTTCGAATGTGGCTACATCTGACTCTGAGGACGGCGGCGATACAAGTGATGATGCTGATAAGGATCATACAACTCAAATATTCACTCCCTCGGCTTCGCAGATTGAAAAGCGCGTTGAGAGGGCAAAAGATCGCTGGAACAACTCTCTTGATGAGGCCGAGCACCTCCAGTTCCCCCGTGAGACAAGTAAAATTTACGACATCACAACTTTTGATCAGCAAACTCGAAAAACACAGCAATCTAGCGTTGAAGGGAGCCAAGCAGCATCATTAGATACCGGTACGGTGCAGACTCAAATTGCTCACGGATTACCAGAATCACCGAAAGTCCAGGGGTCGCCAGTTCCTCAAGCTTCGATGACACCAATGTCACCCAGCATATATTCGCGCAACACCGATGGCGTCAGTATACTTCCCAACGACAGCGTCATGTCTTTTAATGGCCCAAACGATCTGGATAGATCGCATGATGGCGGCTCGGCTGTGATTCTCACATCCCATTCTGTACGAAGCTACGTGGTAGGAACCCCCTCGCCGCGTCAACGTGGGCCAGATTGTGCTAGTCGTGATTGGAGGGCTTGGCTTTCCCATGAAATTTCAGGTATGGAACTCACCAGTCAGGAGGATCTCCGGATCGATGATCAATACACAACACCCTCGAAGAGAGGTCAAGACTCCGCAGGCACTTCATTTACTGAGCAGGATGACACGACTGTAGTTCTGCAAGCATCTCACAACACCAATACACCCAGAGCAGATATTGAACCAATAGCGAGTATCAAAGTGCCTCATGTGGACGATGATCAGCCAGATCTGGACCACCAACCCCAAAACGGTGCCTTGGGAGGGACACCGGTCTCCAAGGGACACAAACCGCGCATTGATAGTTTAAAGGAAGACGCTGTCAGCTACAGCCCCACAGTGAGAGCATACGGAAGTATTGAGTCGCGCAGAAAATCTCAAATAGGCTCCGCACGGCTTTCCAATGCAGAGTCTTCGCCTTCAATATCGAGATGCCGCGTTTCCACTTCGCGTTTAGGCTTTGAGACGCCAAAATCTCCCGCAATGAATGATCGTTTTCCTTTTCTAGACACTGGTCGACGCTCAAGTAGCAACAGCTTATGTTCCCGAAATTCGAAATCGGCCACTGAAAGCGTCGCTTCCTTGAAATCTTTGAAATCTTTCAAGTCAACGCCCGGCGCAAGGCTCAACGCCGACATCTCAGCTCCTTCAACGGATGAAACGTCGAGACGCGCTCCCACAACAGCGTTGAAGAGAAGTGACGCGCAGCTAAAGAGGAAGGAGAACATCACACCACCGATTTCGCGCGATCAGAGGCAGCCTGCCGCATCACCTCTGGGTGTTACACCTCGAACAAATTCGCAGCAGCTATTATGCTCGTCACCCTTGAACCGCAATTCATCATACGCCGACCAGAACATCGCGAAGACACCTGAGATGAACGCTACAAAATTGCAACAAGATCCAAATGCGACACCACTACGTCCGCGAGTACGCGTGAAAATGCGGCCCGTTTCTCCCGAGAAGCTCGCCCGACGACCAAGAAGCGCTTTTGACTTGCGCGGTACGAATGGTCTCGGAGGACTCAATGCAGCACCGCAACATGCTAGTGCAGGCGTGCGACAGCCAACATTGCATGTCAAAACCTCGTCAAGTTCTCTAGCCATGACTAAAGAACCAATTCCAGATGCGTTGGAAAGAGTCATCGACAGTGTGATTGATGGCGATCGTAGCGGGAGCGTTACCCCAGGACAGCGAATGGCCGACCGCTTTCTGAAGGAGCGGGAGAAAACACCTGTGCCGGAAGGCAGTGTTGGGAAGAGAGGCGGGCTGGTTTTGGTAAGGGAAGATACGCCTGCGTTCTTGTGATATCGAAGCTTAGTTTAAGTGGGGATACAGTACGAAGATTGATTTCTGGTATGAATATCGAGACATGAGGTTAACGTCTTGTTGGTGGGAGTGGTTCCCACACCGGATATTGGAAGTATGGGTTGCTTGGATATCACGTTTGTTTCTGTTCTGGATGACTACTTGGTACAGTATATGGCCCGTATTGTAGCTGCGTAGTATCAATCTGAACAACGTATTCTTATATGGTCAGGAGTCACATCAAGCAATAGTGTGACCGATCCACGAAGGCATGCTCGCAACTATATACACACAATATTTGCAAACCATAACAATCTACTCAATGCTTTTCGCAAGTGTAAGTTCCTGAATGAAATCTCGTCAAACTTGTTCATTTCATTGACCCTCAATTTATTTGGGAAGCAAAAGGCGATCTCAGAGTGCGAGGTGAAGGATCCGGAAGATAAACCCGGCTGACGTCACATCTGGTCACTGTTGGATCTCCGATTGCACAACATCACCATGATTCATACAGTACAACTGATCGGCCCGCATCTTCCATCCGCTTCCAGCATCCTTCCCAAAGATCCGGCTATTCCGGGCTAGCGCATAGCCAGCATGGCAACGCATATCGATGACAAGACGTCACCTGGCGCAAAGCTTCTCCAAGACATCGTCAACACACACGCATCCTGTACACCTTTGCCCTTGGGACGAGATAGCGGTACCGAAATATACAGACAGCGCAGTCAAGAACAAGAGAAGATGCAGAATCCAACCTTGAAGAGATGGGCATCCGGCACCCACGCATCCAACCCAAGGCGAACGTCAAATGGGTACATGTCGATCGAGGAATATGGGCTGATTGGAAACATGAGAACATGTGCAATGGTTGCAACAGATGGAGGTATCGACTACATGTGTTGGCCGCACTTCGACTCGCCCTCGGTGTTTTGCCGGATCCTGGACAAGAATAAGGGTGGGCATTTTACTATAGGCCCCACAAGCGACGAGCTTTGTACCACCAAACAGCACTATCTGCCCGCAAGCAACATCCTCCAAACACGTTACCTGAAAGAAGATGGTGTCATGAACGTCGTGGACTTCTTTCCCCGGCCAAACAACAAGACCTATGATGTGTCATACCATACCAACGTAATCGCAAGCAATCATACTGGAAATGTACCCGAACGTCCGGACTTGCACAAGTGGTTAGTCAGGCGAGTGGAATGTATGCGGGGCATAGTTGATGTGAATGTGGAAGTATTCCCTGCATTCAACTATGCACAAGACAACCATACTACCGAGATTTGCGTCTTGGACAAGGCTGCAGGGGGCAGTTGCCTGCAACGGGTGAGTTTCACATCCAAAGACCTTGCTCTGGAATTGAATGCAACAATCGACTGCGGGGACGAACAAGAAAGTGCTTGCCCAAATGTGGTTTTCGAGAAGACGCCACAGTCACAGGGCTTGGGTGATGGGGTCACGGCGTCCTTTACGTTGTATGAAGGCCAGGCCGTGTCGTTCATCCTGCGCGATGCAGCTGATCACAGCCCGGATATCATTGAATCTGCACAAGTCAACGAGTTGCAATTGAACACCCAGAAATTCTGGGCTAGGTGGATTCAACAGAGTAAATACAAGGGCCGATGGGAAGAAGTAGTGACGAGGAGTTTGCTGATTCTCAAGATGTTGACCTTTGAGCCTAGTGGAGCAATCGTTGCTGCGCCAACTTTCTCTCTCCCAGAAGCATTTGGCGGAGCGAGGAACTGGGATTATAGGTACTCATGGGTACGAGATGCGTCTTTTACCATCTACATTCTGTTACGCATGGGCTTCAGTCATGAAGCTGAGGCGTACATTAGCTATATCTTCCAACGCGTCAAGGAAGCCAAAGAACGGGGCGGTCAACTTCCCATCATGTTCAGTATAACCGGAAACCACGATTTACCCGAGATCGAGCTTCCACTGGAGGGTTACAGAGGAAGTAAACCCGTCCGTATTGGCAACGGTGCTGCATTGCACACCCAGCTCGACATCTACGGAGAATTGATGGACGGTATCTACCTGGCAAACAGGTTCGGCCGACCCGTCTCATACGACCATTGGCTTTCGGTCCGTGAGATAGCGGATTATGTCTGCACTATTTGGGATCAACCGGACCAATCGATTTGGGAAGTGCGGAACAAGCAGCAGAATTTTGTTTACAGCAAAATAATGTTGTGGGTAGCGCTCGACCGTGCATTGCGCCTTGCAGACAAGCGGAGTTTCCCATGCCCAAACCGAGCAGAGTGGTATCGCGTCCGCGACATAATCTACGAAGAAGTCATGGAAAAGGGGTACAACTCGGAACTCGAGTGTTTCGTGCAAAGCTACGAATCAAATGATGTGCTGGATTCGGCTGTGCTAATTGCACCGCTGGTCTTTTTCATCTCTCCGACAGACCCTCGGTTCCTGAAGACGCTCGACCGCATCCTGAAGCCGCCTGAGAAAGGCGGTCTGACAAGCACGGGCTTGGTGTACAGGTACAATCACACCAAGAGTGACGACGGCGTAGGAGGATTGGAAGGGGCCTTTTCAATGTGCACCTTTTGGTTGGTAGAAGCGTTGACCAGGGTATGCGCTAATGTCTCCAAACTATTGTTTTTCTATTGCTTTTGCTAACGTTCGCAGGCCGGCGCGTATGATGACAAGTATCTGATACAGGCCGTGACGATCTTTGAGAATATGTTGAGCTTTGGGAATCACCTGCATATTTTCTCAGAAGAGATTGCGCGCTCTGGTGAGCAACTGGGCAACACACCTCAGGCTTTCAGTCATCTGGCGCTGATCTCGGCGGCGTTCAATCTCGACAAGACGTTGAGTCAGCGGCGGTCGTGAAGCGTATCGCGAGTATGAAGGATATCGGCGATGGAAGCACAAAGACCCCGCACCCCCCCTTCTCGGGACAAAAAGGAGCACTGGCGCCTATGCGATGTTTATAACAGTATAGCACCTGTGCCGGTCCAAAATGAACACGTGCATGCGATATGAAGCATCCGACACGAAAACTTTATTCATGCACCAGGGCTTTTTTTTTTCTGCGTGGTGGGTGTGAAGGGCGCGTCAGCTATAGATATCACGTTAGCAGGAGAATAAAAGGATGCGACGTGTTCTAGAAGTGCAGGCTAGGCCAAAGACGCAGTGAAGATCATCAACTAACAACGTCATTACAAGTATTCCCCAGCTTCAAAACTGCTAGCCAGGGTTCAAGCGACGCCTGGAATGCGTGGCGCTACGGAACGCCCCTGACGACGACGACGCGCACTGACTGGGTAATCTCCCTCTTTCTGCGCAACTTCCAAGACTGGCCCATCTCCTGTCGACAGCACACCCCAACCATTGCCAGCGGGCATGACATAGCACACCTCACCTTTATCCACTCCCTACAGTCTACTGCTTGTTTTGTTTCCGCTCGTCCCGCATCATCTCCCGCGCTACATCAGATTACACTACGAATAACGTCATTGAGCAATTCCTTCATCAGCGCATCGCAAACCACGAATCTCTGCCAACAATCACAAACATGTCGCTCACTCCTTCCTCATCCTGCTCCCGCGCATCGAGCCTTTCAGTCATTGACGAGAACCATGAAATGACTTTCCCTCCTGCTGAGCTCCTAGTCCGCGACTTTGGCTGGCCAGCCGTCTCACCTCGCTATCGCGGCGACCACACACCTGAAAGCAACCCCGACTGGGACCACGACCCGTTGGAGTGCGAAGAAGCCAAAGCAGAGGCATTCGAGAAGATGGAGAAGAGCTACGCGCTATACATGGCCAACCTAGGGAAACGTGTACCTACGCAGAAGAAGAAGGCGGCTCCTTGGGCACGTTTTCTACCTTGGACGCGTTGAACGCCTTCACCCACACGACTGCCCAATCGAAACATACAATGTCGACATAGGCAGTGGTGCGAGGAAGCGGGGAAGAGAGATGTGTGTGCGACAAAAACGTTGCACTGCATTGTGCATTAACGCCCATCTCGAAGAGTTTGATTTATCCGTTTGAAAAGCACAAAGCAAAAAAGATACACAAGATACCCATTTATTATGAAGGAAAGAAAATGTAGGAAGGAGTGGAATAGGAACAGGAAAAGCTGCAGCAACAGGGCCATCTTACCTGCCGCATGACCCTGGTCCCGCGCCCGATTTGGCATTGCGGGATTCCAGATCCGACATAGCCGAGCGAGCCACGGGGACGAAGGAAGGTGCGGGGCTTGATGCATGGTCGCCTGTCTGCCAAAACCCAACCCAACTTTGATACCCGATCTTTGTCGGTTTCCTATGTTTTTCTTGAAGAAAAGCTTTGCGCTTGTTTTGATGCTCTTTCCGCGCGAATATCTCGTTTGGCCTTATCTTGTTATTTGTATACCCCAGTTTAGATTCCAATCAGTTCACGCTCGAGCGACAAGTAATAATTACTAATACATCTTTGACTTTCTGTATATGAACAATGGGGGCCGTCTAACGTAAGTGGCCTGCGGTGGGGTTGCGGCGCAGTTTCCATGTCTCGGGAATCTTGATCCTGTCGCCTGGCATGCATCGGTTGAGTATTGCCGAGTATTGAAGAGGCAGGTACCAACGACAAGATGCGTTTATGGATCCGTTTTGACAATCGCCTGTAGCCATGGTTTGTCGTGCCTTCCCGCTCCTCTTTCCCTTTTTGGGTCGCAGCTACCTACTTAACGGTTGAAGAGAATCTTCTGTATACCTCCGTGATACGCACTTGCTCTTACCTCTACTCTTCTGTTCCTTTCACAATACCCTCACCATGACAACCCAAAAGACGATGCGGGCGCAGCAATATGACGCAAGAGACAACAAACTCCACCTCAATGAAGTATCCATTCCCCGGCCCCGCGAGCACGAGATTCTGGTCAAGATTGGATGTGCCTCTCTCTGCCACTCAGATGTCATGCACTTTGAGCCCAACGACCAGGGTCTCATTCTCGGCAAGAACCCCGTTACCATTGGGCACGAAGGCACGGGCAGGGTGGTTGCAACAGGATCTGGGGATATAGCCAAGAATTTCAAAGAAGGCGATGCAGTAGGGTTTCTCTGCGCGGTCGACTGTTGCTTCGAGTGCTACGCTTGCAAGAACGTTCACAATTCATGGTGTGTGACAGGGCAGACAAACATGCAGGGCTTCAGTGCGGATGGGTATTTCGCAGAGTATGCGGTTGTGGATGCCAGGGAGGCTATGGTGTTGCCTGACGAATTGGACCCGAGAGAATCAGCGCCTCTTTTCTGCGCGGGTGTAACAGCCTACCACAGCATAGCAGACTGCGAACTGCCTCCCAGCTCCTGGGTTGCGGTCATTGGATGTGGCGGCCTCGGACATATGGGCATCCAATACGCAAAGGCTATGGGCTACAAGGTCATCGGCATCGACATTACAGACGGAGCGATTGAAGAAGCCAAGAGCTGTGGCGCAGATTACACCTTCAACTCCATGACTGACAAGGAGTATAAGAAGAAGATCAACGAACTGACTGGTGGCGGTGTCCATGCAGCCGTCAACTTCACGGCATCCAAGAAATCCTACGATGACTGTCCTGCGATTGTCAAGGCTGGTGAGGGTATCATCATGGTTGTGGGGATTCCGCAGCAGCCGCTCGAGTTCAACGGGCTGGATCTTGCGTTGGGAAAGTACAAAATTAAGGGATCGAACAATGGAAGTAAGTACCGATATTTTGTCAGACGATGAGCTTGAGACTAATGGTCGTGTTCAGCATGCTACAATATGAGGGAGGCTATCGAGTTCTCGGCCAAGCACGGGATCAAGCCGCATATGACCAAGTTTGAGCTGGAGGATGTGCCGAAGATGGTGGAGCTTATGAAAGGTCACAAGGCGAAGGGACGGATGGGTGTCGTTTTTGATGATTAGGTAGATTCGCGGTTGGAAGGACGAGCATGGAGATAGTTTTATGTAAGCCAAGGCTAAACTCGTTCTTGACGGACTTCGGCACCGTTGCAGACATGCAGCCCAAGTAGGAGCCAGCCCTATCTGCGGGTTGTCAGGGCAACGCATCTGGATAGGGTCATCGCGCTCTAGCGTCCCCTTACACGTGCAAGCCCCGCCGACGCTCAAACACACCCACTTTCAGCATCAACGACAACAGGTGGGACAATTCCTTGTCTGTCTGCGATTTCGATACCCAACTTTTTCTTCTTTCTTTGTGATACCCCAATTTACCCGCAGCCATGGGTTCCGACGACCTCATCGACTTCGAGGTTATCGAAAACCAAAAGGAAAACATCCAGTCCCTCCCCAGCGGACGCTCCGCCAGAGCACTCGCACAGCTGTACACGCCGCCATTGACTTCCGCCCCTGGTCAAACGGCATCGCCGTCGCAAATGGAGGATGCGAACAGCGCGGCCCGCCTAAAGTTTGAGAAGGAGCTCATGGCCATTGACGACTCCGACGACCCCCTCGATGTCTACGACCGCTACGTCAAGTGGACGCTAGATGCATACCCCTCGGCACAAAACACGCCCCAGTCAAAACTCTGTCCGCTGCTCGAGCGCGCTACGAAGGCGTTTCAGTCATCGCCACAGTACAAGAACGACGCGCGCTACCTCAAGCTATGGCTGCACTACATCCACCTCTTCTCCGATGCGCCGCGCGAGACATTTGCATACCTCGCACGACACAACATTGGCGAGCAACTTGCGCTATTCTATGAGGAGTTCGCCGCTTGGCTAGAAGGAGCCGGTCGCTTTACACAGGCAGAGGAGATATACAACTTGGGAATTGAGCGCCAGGCCCGCCCAGTCGAGCGCTTGATCCGCAAATATGGCGAATTCCAGCACCGCTTCGAGAGCCGTCCGCAACAGGTGCCTGAGCCGACCAGCCCCGCATTGCCTGCTGTTCGGCCAGCCCTTGCGGCCAAGACGGATCCGTTCGCGGCTGCTTCAACAAGCCCAGCACCACAAGCGCAAGCTCAGCCAAAACCTGCTGCGGGCGCATCTCGTTCCGGCAAGGCGAAGCTGGCCATCTTCTCTGACGGCGACGATGCGGCGACACCCAGCTCCAAGGGCAGCATTGAGGGGTGGGACAACATTGGATCGCTCGCAGACCGCAAGAAGGAAAACACCACGGAGGCGCGGCCTTGGGCTGGCGAGACTCTCAAGGTTGGCAAGAAGAACACGGGCGTTCCGAAGATGCAAATCTTCAAGGATGAGGTGAGTTGAGCTCCCACTATCAGCCCCTCCGTATATTTACGATCACAGGACTAATTGGTGGGCGTTTGCCATTCATGTATTCAGACCAAATCAAAACTCAATGACCAAAGTGTCAGCCCCCATCCGTTGCGTGAACATCAACAAGCTGTCAACCCAAGAACAGGCAGAATCGAAAGAGTGTTTGTTGATCTAGAAAGTGTCTATCCTAATCATGAAGATCCCATGTCTGAAGAATACTCATTTGAAGAGCTACGCGCTAAATACAGGGGCTGGATGGACTATGACTGGGTTGCCATCCGCCGTAAAGAACAGGAAGAGGCTAGGAAGGTAGCAGAGGCTGCAGTCGCTGCTAAACAACCTAAGTCTAAGCCCGCGCCTTTAGCGCCCAAACAAGAGCCCGAGCAGCTCCCTAAGCCCAAGACCGTGCCTTTGAAGGGCAGTGTGGACGATGACATGGGCAACGACGAGAACGCGCCACCTTCACAGGCTGATGTGGATAAAGCAAAGGCTGCGAAGAGGGCCAGACGTGAGGAACGTGCCAACAGGACGAGGAAGATCAAGGTCATGGAAGTCAAAGAGGTCCGCGGGGAGACACAGACGAGTAAGCACTGGTTTGAACATTTTGCAAGCTGTATGCTGACACACTGTAGTTCAAGCGAACTTAGATTCTCCTGCAAAACCAAAGATACGGAGAAAGAAGACTGGTCCAGAACAAACCATGACTCTGCATACCAAGGAAGCTATGGATGAGATCTACGATATCTTCAACGAGCCACTGAAGAACGCAGACGAAAACGTATCGGAAGTTCAGAGTGGTGAGGAGAGTACTGAAGACGATGAAGACGACTATACGAGTGAGGCTGAAAGTACGGCTACTGGCCGCATGTCTTGCGCTGGGAGCGAGTTCGGTGACGAGACCACGGTTGGTGGTGACTTCACGCTTGGGACCAGAGTGCTCAATACCGAAGATGACGATGACGATGACGATGACGATGACGATGAAGATGAGGAAGAAGACGAGAACGATAACAACAACGATAATGAAGACGCTAGTAGTGGGGATGACACTGACGTCAAGAGTGCTTCTGCATGGTCTGACTTTACTGAGAGCAAACATGTACCAAGAGATGAACAAGATGGATCAGGCGACGAGTCGGAGCATTCTAATCAATCTCAGGATGAGTCTTTTGACGAAATATCACTTGCAGATATTCATTCGGACGAGCAGCAAGATCGGGAAGTGGTCACTCCTACATCGCCCTCAGGACCAACCTCGTTACCCACTCGCTTTGTTCCTGTTCCGCCCGAGGACTACAATCCAGCCATGCGGCCCTATAGAGACCCAGTCCAAGCTGCAAACAATCGACTGCCTTTCATGACACCTATTGTAGAGAAGACCGAGTCGTCATTAGGAATCGCCACTGGTCATACACAAAAGGACTACTGCCCAGCGAAGACACCTTCTCGGTCAAAAGGTACGCTTGCCATCCTTGAGGATGATGACGAGACTTGCAGCAGTCCTTTTGCAGACCTCCTGTCACAAGTTATTGACGGTCCAGGGAAAGTCGCAAAGTTGGCTTTGACTGAATCGAAACCCGTAGCGCAAGACCCCAAGACCGAGCCGCAACGGAAAGTATTAGCCACCAAAGACGTCCCAGCCAAAGTGCAAAAGCTCGATGGCCCGATCATCAAGGATACGCAGTGCAATCCTGTAGATGAAAGTATTCGTAAGATCATCCTACAAGAGATTCAACCACCGCTCGACAGCTACGATGGCTATTATGCGGACACTGAGGAGTGCTATGGAAAGGGCGCCGATATCCGCAAATACACGAAATCGGTTAAGGGCAAGAGTGCGACCGAAAAGACTATGGCAAATCCTTGCTGTTGTCCTACACTGAAATTTCCTGGCACAGACCGAACGTATACTATCAAACGAGAGCTCGGCAAAGGGGCTTTTGCTCCGGTGTATCTCGTCGAAAGCAAGGATACTGATGATGAGGATGAAAACAAGCCTTCGCAGATGGGAAAAGGCGAGTTTGGTCTGAAGCGCAAGGATCTAGAGGCGATCAAGATGGAAGATCCGCCAACACCATGGGAGTTTTACATCATGCGACAAGCCAAGCGACGACTAGGTGTCTCTCGAGCAGCTGACTCTATTGTTCACGCATATGAGATGCACGTGTTCAAAGACGAGTGTTACCTGGTTGAGGAATTCCGGGATCAAGGCACACTCCTCGACTTGGTGAACCTCGCACGAGCAGAGAACGGGGTGATGGACGAGCAGCTTGCCATGTTCTTTACCATCGAGCTATTCCGCACAGTCGAGGCGCTGCACGCCAAGGGCGTAATACACGGTGATCTCAAGTCAGACAACATTCTCGTCCGTTTCGACAGTCTACAAAAAGACGAACACTGGGACTCTGAGTACAAGCGCGATGGACGCGACGGTTGGTCTGCCAAAGGTATCTCGCTCATCGACTTTGGCCGCGGCATCGACATGAAAGCGTTCAAGCCCGACGTGCAGTTCATTGCTGACTGGCCCACGACCGAAGCCGACTGCGCGGAGATGCGCGAGCTGCGTCCCTGGACTTACCAGATCGACTACTATGGCCTCGCCGGCATAGTCCACAACCTCTTGTTCGGCAAGTATATTTCTACAGTCGCTGAGCGCGGCGCGACTCTCGGTGCGGGTGCGACCAAGACGTACAAGATTAAGGAGAGCCTGAAGAGATACTGGCAAACTGAGATTTGGCACGAGTGTCTGGATCTGCTGCTGAATCCGCTGATGCATCTTGAGGGCGAGGAAGAGGGGAAGCTGCCCGTGTTGAAGGGGATGAGGGAGGTGAGGGAGAAGATGGAGACGTGGCTTGAGGGTAATTGTGAGAAGGGTGTTGGTCTCAAAGCGCTCGTTAGGAGGATGGAGGAGGCCGTGAAGCGGAGATGAAGATGAGGTCTTTAATGTGTGCGTGCAGGTTGAGCTGCATTAGGAGGAGTTATTGGAGGCTGGACTTGAGATACTTTTTATGTGCTATGATACTTGTTGTTTTGATACCCATTGTTTTGATAGCTGTGTTTTCCTAATATGGCAAGTCCGACATGATGTAACGCACCGCCGCAGTGTTTATGGCGGGGTGCGTCCGTGCGTAGTAGTTAGGTGCCTGCCTAGGTTGAACTCGCGGCGAGCTTAATCACCTCCGCCGCTACCTACGTAGGTACCGGGTAATTGCTTTGCTCTTACTCGTCTTCTTTTCCGGTTGTTTGTTTGCGCTGCATTCTTCTTGTAGCCCCCACAATCCTACTACAACCAAGGCCAGTATTCAGAGACAAGGCAGACGACTGCAACCAAATACCCCACATCACCGCCCTCGGCGTTAGCTCTCTGATTCAATCTACTGGTCATCTCCACAGACACAACCATGTCGGCCGGACTTCTCTCTCAACTGCTGAGCTCCCCCTTACAGTTAAGTGCACCTGAGGCAGAGACGAGGCGTGAATACGATGCAAATGCCCGCACTTTCGCCACACAACTTGCCAACGTGCCTACAGCACAGTGGTTGAAGGGAGCAGACACAGATCAAGATGTGCTCGTAGTAAGTCGACCTCGGCACAATATAGCAGGATTTCACTAATCATATAGTTAATTGACCCCGCGGTCAACTCAATAGGATACGCCTATGCTCTTCGCCACCGCATCGGCACCTTATTCGACAGAAGGAATATGCCCGAGGCGCTGCAGCCTGGAGGTGCAGTGTGGAACAAACTAGTACTGTTCTTGGAGACGGCAGATCCTGTGCAGCTGCGATATGTTGGAAGGGAGTGGAGAACATTGGTCGAGTTCACAGAGCAGATTGCGCGCGCGTGTGGATCAGTACGTTGAGGGCATTGTATCACGACGCTAGGGAAACCATACTGACAACCACAGCCTGGCCTCGCGATTGCACCGATACGCTCAGCCATGACACGACTTGATCCTACCACCGGCACCTTCACCTTGTTCCACCTCAGCTTCATCCAGCTGTGCATGGAGACGCGATCGTACGCGGCCGCCGAACCGATACTCGATAATCACATCCATACTTTGCCTACGAAGATCCCTATCGTGGTCCGCGAGGGTCTCGAATACTCTGTTCCATGCGCAGATGTCACAAGCAGCGGGGAGTACATCCACTTGAGTTCTGGCCACACTGATAAGATCACTTTGGCGGAAATTCAGGAGTACTATGTACTGGGGGCCATGGCATATCTCGCATTACGTCGTTTCAAGAAAGCACAGCACTTCCTGGAGCACGTGCTTGTGGTTCCTTCGACTAATACTGCAAACGGTTTTATGTTGGAGGCGTATAAGAAGTGGGTGCTGGTGAGCTGTCTAGTCCAGGGACGGGTATGTAAACCTCGAGTGTGAGCATTTGGATTGAGCTAACAGGGTAGATGGGCACGATTCCGCGGACAGCCAACGGTAATGCCATCAAGGCGGTTAAGGCAGCGTCAAAAGCGTACGAGGCGCTTGCGGAAGCGTACGGAGAGCTGGACAACATGTCCAAGCTGAAGGCTCAGACGCAAGCTGGTGCTGAGATTTGGGCAGAGGTATGATAATGAAACGCTATGCGAAGCATGCCAGATTTGTTTCATCAAGCGCTGACAGCTCGGGTAGGACGGGAATAGTGGCCTCGTCACGGAACTCAGCAACAGTCAGACGCGGACCTATGTTTCGCGGCTGTCACGGACTTACTCGGCGATACCAGTCTCAAACATTGCCACCCACCTGGGCGCTACGACGGACGAGATGGTGCTGTATGTCGAGAGTCTGATCAAGGATGGCCATCTGAACGCGTGCTTGGAAGAGACGGACTTGTCGGATATAGGCGTGGTACTACGTTTCTACCTGGATCCGACGCAGGGACCATTGGCCAAGAGCGAGAAGCAGCAGCAACAGGCGCTGTTTGAGCAAACGATGCGGACAAATAGGCTTGCGGAACAAGTCAAGGACGCCGACTACCGCCTGACATTGACCAAGGAGTACATTGAGAACCAGAAACGCGTGACCAAGAGGTCGGGACCGCACGGCGATGTTATGGACACTGCATGGGATGACAGCATTGACGCAGAAGAGGACATAATGATTGACATGCACTGAATGGTGAGGGCGACAAGTCATGATAAGCAATTGGAACATGCATGTGATTTGGATGCATTACGAGGTCATTAGACATGTTTGCGGGATTGGTAGCGGTTAGTGCTACTGGAGTAGAGTGTTTGGGGATGCGAGGCATCCATGGCGCGATAATGGCAATGCATGAAACGCTTGCAGTGAAGAGCACAGGCGAGCATGGTGTAACCATGGACGGGTGCGAGGACACATGGTGGACAGAGGGACGAATAGGGCGATGCAGACAAATAGGGAGCATTGCAAATAGAGCAATACATGTCACGTTGGCCGTCGGAAGTGGAGGGAAAAGAAAGCGAAGCCATGCATGCCCAATGAGGTAGGCAGACGAAGTTTTGCACGTGTTGTTTGCTTGTTCAGATGCTTGTTCGCAGTCTAGATGCTTTTCGTGTCAGACGTCGCGTATACGCACAGCACAGGAGGTTAATGTGTGGGGCGAAGAAGGGGCAGGTGAGGATTTCGGGCGAACAGCGGAGAGGAATTCGGTAGTTTGGGGCGAAAGATGATGGTGGTGAGTGGTGATGATTAGAGAGGATCGACCATGGTGCTGGTAGGGCAATTTGGTAATTTGGTAGTCAGGCATGGCAGGCGGCAGGCGGCAGGCAGCAGGCAGCCGGCAGCAGGCAGCCTGGTACCAAAATGAAAAGGTCCAAGGGAGAGTCGGAAAGCCGGAACCATGCAGCGCGCGTGGGAACGGGCCGACTCACGAATGATGATGGACGCAGACGCTCCGTCGTCGGGCTGGCCGTCGACAGAAAAGGGTATCGCGTCGCCTTACTTTGCATGCAGGAACAGCCAAGGCGTGCAATCAGCGGGGAACACTGGCGGGACGAGGGCGCAGGCTGCCTGTGCTGCCCAGTCTGCAGTCTTAGTTTTTCGCACCCGCACAAGTGGTGCAAAGGGTTCGAAAAAGTAAGGCAACATGGCAGAGTAGGCATGGCAGCCATGGCAGCCATGGCAATTTGGACGCGGCAATGGGAAAGTCAGCACGGCAATTGGGCGTGCATGGACTAGGGGCACAAGTGCGTGTGGACGACAGCCACTTTTCTGCTTGCTTTTGGTAGCCTGTGCGGCCAAGTTGGGGAAGACCGGCAAAGACATGTGCTGCAAAGAAAGCATGGTACGGTATGGTACCATGGTCGCACTGTCAGTGTCGGGCGCGCGCATACATACGGACCGGCGACGGCCTTCTGGACTGCAGTAGACGCATGGTAATATCA